TGATGTGACTTAAATAAAATGATGTGATTTAAATAAGATAGTGACTTTTTGACTTTTTGACTTTTTTAGGACACCCCAAAAATGTGTTTCGATCCTGTGATACCGATATTCGATTAATATAATTTTTTTATACAACCATAAAGTACTTGACAAATTTTATATATTAAATGGTTCGAATTATTAAAAATAAATTCCTGATGTGTCCCACAAGTTTAATAATAAACTCTACATATAATAGATTGAATACCCAATTGTGATAATAATAATTTGAGACTCGCCTCCTAGACAATTTATGACTAAACTCTTAATCAACTATACTAGGCCCAAAAAATTAACCCAAAAAATATCAAACTTAAGACCTAACGTCTTAACCCCCGAGACCTTTACCAAGTTGCCCGTACTCATTAGGTAATCCCAACTGCACATTCATTTTTTTTTTCGAGAGGTGGTTTATGCGTGAATTATGGTATGGTTTATTGCTCTTTCTCTTTCTCTCTCCAAAGCATCGCTCTGGCTATAGAGTAAACAGAAGGAGAGAGAAAGAGCACCGCTCAGCGCAGCTGTATAGCTACCACGATCTTCATGGGCGTCACGGCTTTCCACCGGCGGCGCCACCACAACCACGGCCGCCTCCGCGTCCTTATTCCCGCAATCTCCGCCGTATCCGGCGCTATGCTCCTCCTCTTCCTTCTCTTCTCCTTTCTCGCCCCTTCTCCAACTCACAATCAACACCTCCACCACCTCCCTCTCCGCCCTGCCTCGGTACTCCTCTCCTCATTTCTCTCTCTCTCTTCATATACACTACAATCACACACACACACGCACATATATATATGTATGCATATTGTTCTTGCTGTATTCAATTAACTTGTGATTCTCTGTTCAGTTAAAAAATGACGTCGACGACGATGGAGTTTCGGTTTTTCGTGTTCCGGTTAGGGTTTTATCTTTTGCTAGTTATTTTTCTTATTCACTGATTAAGCTCGATTGGATCTGAGTTTGTTTTATTTGATTTATTTATCGCTTATTGGAATGTAGATCAGTGGAGGAAGACTGGATCGTGACATTTGGAGTTCAACACTGTCTAAATTCTACTACGGATGCAGTAATGCAAGCAAAAAATTTGCTGGTGATTTTTTTTTTTTTTAATTTTTATTATACTGCTTCTTGTTTGTCGATTTTGTTCTGTTGCCATTATAGTATTCTGGTTGATTTGGATTTTTTTTTCTTCTTCTTCAAATTGCAGATGCTAAATTAATCACGCAATCCAATCGGTACTTGTTAATTGCGACCAGTGGAGGTTTGAACCAACAAAGAACTGGGGTAATTATATCTATCAAATGTTATTTTGGAATTGCCGAAGGGTAATCTAGATCTATTTTTGGTTTTTCGAGTGTTTGGAGAATGGTTTCTGTGTTGAGAAGCTAAAGAGAAGGTTAACACGCGTGGAACTTAATTTGGACTTGATTGTAGTCTTAAATATTGGTCTAAAGAACTAGTTTAGTAGTCAACGGGATCTACTTAATTATCGATTATAGGTTACTAGGAGGTTGGATCAATGGAACAAAACCTGAATATTTTTATTGGAATTATAAGCAATCTAATGTTTACTTTCGTTGCAATTGCTGTTCGATGCTATCATTTCAGCTCACTGTCACTGCAACTGTTTTAAATTATTTGAATTCTTTCTTTTTTTTTTTTTTTTTTAATAATGATATACAAGCTCATTTTTCATGCCCACTTTATTTTTTTTGGATTCTCTCTCTCTCTCTCTCTCTCTCTCTCTTAGTTTGGTTGTTGATTGTTGTGAGAGAAAGAGGAAAAGGAAGTTTGAATCTTATGCATTGTTGTTAGGTATCTGAGAAAAAGGAAGGAAAAGGAAATTGAAAGTTTTGAACTTTCTTCACCGTTTCACTGCATATAAAACAGTAATTAAAATAAATAAATAAATAAATAGAACTTTTTGAATGGATTCTTGTATTCTGAAAATAGGGGGAGAACACAGGATTGAAAATCTTCGCTCAAGATGGCCTGTTTACACTTATTTTGGTTACTTATATGTCATAATTTTTCTTTTGAAATTTGTTAATTAGTGCATGACATATTGTGTATAGTTCTGGTATTTTGTGGTTTTTATATTGAATCTGTTGTAATGTGCTTTTATTTTGTGCTTCGATCTTTTAGTGAATAATAGATGGATGGTTTGGTTTGGTTTGGTAATAGATGGATGGTTTGCAGTAGAGCATCTCCAATCCTTTCTCTTTCTTCATCAAATTTGAGTGAAAATTTGGTCAAACACTTGATTTGATATACAACATTCCAATCTTTTTTCTTTTCTTTTTTTAATCAAATCTTTTTAAAAATTCCAAACTTATCCTAAATATGACTCTTTTTAAATACCTGTTTTACCCATTTTTGACGAAAGAAAACCACCTCCAATTCGTACTCCTTTTAAAACTTCATCAAATCTGAGTAAAAATATGACTCTTGGGAATTTGGCTAATGATTTGGTGAAAAAATTGCCTTTCTTTTGATTTGATAAAATGGTTGGAGCACATGGTCATTTTTTCATCGAATTTGAATTTGATGTAAAATTTGATGAACGATTGGAGATGTTTAATCATTTATGTTATTTCCTTTTTTGGTAGTTTTTGCAAATAGGCATTCTACATCAGATAACAGGCTTGTTATTGTCAGAAATAGGTTTTTTTTTTTTTTTTTATCAGCCATTGTCAGCTATATTTTATCTTTGTGTGAACTCGTATAAATTGAAAGAAATTTTGCATGTTCAAAGAGAAGTTTTTTTTTTTTTTTTTTGGGTTTTTTTGTTTCCACTAAATACTTGAATTGAATTAGTCAAACTTCTAGCAATGGGTAGAGCTATCTCTTTGGGAAGGAAAAGGAAATTAGCACTACAGAATAGTTTAAGAAGGATCTTGATATTTCTCCTCAACAACTATTGGAATAGGAGAGATCTCAACATCTTAATATAGACGAAAAAGAACAAGTAATGAAGAAGTGAGTGAATCTTCCTGGCACCTCTTTGGTTGATATTGCGATCCGACTCACCTAATCTGCCAGACTGTCTTTTAGTCCCGAAATTCTATCCCTATTTCCTCCTTTCTCTCTATATTTTGCTCTTATATGTCCAAAATCTACATAATAAAAGAAAATTGTCATTCCTTACCTATAACAAGCTTGAAATCTAACCACTTCTCACCATAAGCTATTATTTTCTTATTCAGCTTTGCTTGTTTGTTTCCGAATTTATGAACAATGAATTACTTGGAAATACTTTCCATATGTTAGTGGTCTTGCTACTAGCCTAATTAATTTCTCTCATTTACTGCAGTGCTCCCTGTGTATCTTACATGCTCCGCAAACGAGCTCTTTATGGTGACATGTCAAGGTAATTGATGTTTTTATTATTATTAGATAAAAAAGAGATCTTTTGCTGTTTATTGTTCTCAAGTGTATATATATATATATATTTTAAATTTAAATTTTTTTGTTATATAGGTACACATGCTGTGGTGGCTATATGCCTTGTAGTGGTCGGTGTGGAGAAAGTCAATGCCCAGAACTTTGTCTTTGCACCGAGGTTTTCCTTTGCTTTGCAAATTCAGTTGCATCAACACGCTTCATGTTGCAAGATGAGTTCAACATACAGACCACCCAGTGCGATAATTGCATTATTGTACTCTCTCTCTCTCTCTCCCCGAGTATACAGATCTCATTGCTTAAATATCTGTGTCACTCATATGCATTGACTTGTTCTATAGGGATTCATGTTCTGCCTACAACAGTTAGCCTGTATATTTTCCATTGTTGCTTGTGTTACTGGAATGGAAGAACTTCAAGAGGCTTCTCAGATACTGTCCTGTTTGGCAGATATGGTTTATTGCACGTAAGACCTTTAATGCACCCCTGTCAACAACCTTAGCCAACAAGACTCAAAAATCTTGTACTGAATATACTGTTTATGTTGTTGCAGGGTTTGTGCTTGTATGCAGGTAAGTTACAAGATAATCAAAATAGCTTTTGTGTGTGTGTGTGTGTTTTTGGTTTTTTTTTACCTGAGCATTATTTTCTTAAGCAGCCACTTCATTTTGGACCTGTTTTTCTCAACAAAAAATTATTTCGTTGTTGTGATCCATCTAGTATAAATTTTTTGTTTTTGAAGTTTTCAATCTTTCACAGAAAATTTAATAGTAAAATTAGATGGTTAAGGTCATTTTTGGATAAATTATACTTTGCCCCCTTCAAGTTTTACAGTTTTCTCACTATGGTTGTTAAAGTTTATTTTTTCCCACTTTAATCCCAAATATTTGTAATCCAAATTTGCATAATAATGTGTGATTATGCCATGTGGCAGATGACGTAGCATTTTCTATCTAAAACAGGATGAAAGTTGATTGTTAAGAGTAAAATGGAAAAAATTAGTTATGTTAGGAATTAAAGTGGAAAAAAAATAAATTTTAAGAGCCAAAATAAGAAAACACTATTACTTAATTCGAGGGCCGAAGTACAAGAGAAAGGGCTCTCTATTACTTGATTCAAGGTTTTTCAGGTCCTTTTTCCATTCTCATAATTAAGTGATACACTGTTGTGGATGAGCAATGCAGACACAACACAAGGTTGAGATGGACAAAAGAGATGGCAAGTTTGGACCACAACCGGCAATGGCAATACCTCCTGTTCAACATATGTCGCGTATGGATCAGCCATTTCCTCCCTCAGTCGGATACCCACCTCAACAACCATATGGCTATCCACCACCACCACCTCAACAACCATATGGCTATCCTCCACCACCACCACCACAAGCCCAATACCCACCAGCTGGTTATCCTCCACCTGCCGCAGCTTATCCTCCACCAGCTGGTTATCCCAGGTGATCTTTCAAATTAATTCATGTTGATGTGAGCAAAGGAAAGTAGTATTCATGACAAAGATGCATTTGAGAGATTGTCAGCTTTGTGTGTGATTTGATTGAATACAACTCCGGATATACAATTTGTGTGCTCTTCTTTTTATTTTAATTGTAAGAAATTAAGTTGTAGTGGTTTGGTGTTTTATATCAATAAATAATGAGTTTGTTTTTGTCAATGCCTCTGAAATTCGTGAAAATGATTGATATGAGCTAAAATTGCTAAAAGATGCTTTAGAAGTGCTTTGAATTTAGCTATTGCCAAATAGAAAAATTATTTGTTATGGTTTTCATTTGTGATGAATTGGGATTTGAGATATTTTTGACTTCAGCACAGTTCGATTTCCCATCTCAACAAAATTGTCGTATGGTTGGGGGCTTGTTTGGTAAAATTTACAATTTTTTGTTTATATTTATAAAAATGTTATGGACTGTGAACAAAACTTATTTGATGTTTATTTTCATTTTTTTAAAATTAAAAATAATTTACAATTTTTTTTGTATAAAAAAAAATAATTGGTTTTTTTATTCCTTTTTCCCTCTTCTACCATTTTTGGACACCATCTACCGCTCATCACCACCTCTGGCCACCCCAACCTTCGGCCACTCTTAGTGATGACCTCCTCCAACCACCACTTGTGGCCAACAACCCATCTTCAGACTGCCACCTCTTGTTGATAACGACTTTTAGGCCCCGTTTGTTTGGGGTTATGAGGAGGGAATTGGGTTTGATAGTGAGGAGGGGGATTGAGAATAGAGTGTTTGTTTTAAGAGATAGGGAATGGATTAGTAATCCCTTGGTATTAGTAAGGAGGAGGAAGGGGGATTGGGAAGGAAGGGGTAGAGATGGTATTAGAAAAATAGTGAGGGGATTAGAAATTTTTTTATTTTTTTTATTTTTTATATATTGGGAATTTTTTTTTAAATATAATGTTTATTTTTTTATATTTTTTTATTTGTTTTATTATTTTATATAAAAATAATTTAACAATTTCTCACTATCAATCCCCTCACTAACAATCCCTTCACTATTAATTTTCTCACTATCAATCATTTTCATTCTATTTTCCAAAACAAACGGGACCTTAGTTGTTGCCAACCGCACCCTTTATGACTGGCAATCACTTTCAACTATCAACTCCCGTCAGAGACTACCTTAGACCACCATCTATAGTTGCCAACCAGCACCTTTGTCTGCCCTCTCTAGCCATTGGTAACCACTTACGATCATCACTCTTTTGTTAGTAATCACCTCCAGCCACTCTCATCACTTTTCAAAAATGTGCATACCAAATAATACCAGAGGTGTCTTATTTTTGTTAAAAACAAATAAATATAAACATGTTAAATGTTTTAAGTAAATTAAAAAAGAAAAAAAAGGGTAAACTGTAAGCATTCGCAATAGGCAGGTTATTAATTTAAGATACTAAAGGTTACCATTTGATACAAATATACTGGGAAAAGTAGAACATTTTTAAAGGGGTGAATGATCGTTGTGAATTGAATTATGAGCATCTACACCATTGTCATCCTCATCATTGTCATCCAAGATACCATGACTCTGTATTTGTGACAACTGTTGGAATTTGGGAACTGAAGTATATTTGTTGCTGAAGAATTTCTTGAAGCATATCATGGCACCTGCTGCAACTGCACCTACTGAGCACAACACGGCCACGACCACCGTGAACCACTGGATGGACATAGAAATACAGAGCATGTTTCAGGGAGATAATCGGGAGAAATATTTGTATTATAACAGATTCAGCTACAAAATTTTGATCATGTTTTGAAATCAAAGGTACGATAGAAGAGTCTGACAATAAATAAATAAATTAATTAAAAAACAATTATTGTCAATTTTAAAATTTCGACAATATTGAAGTGTGTTGGCAGTCCTGGCAAATCTTTTGTGCATGCTTTAGTTATCTCTTTGGCGTCTTTGTGCATTTTGGACTATTTTTGGATTTTGAATTTGTGAAGCAATTTGTTGAGAGAAAATAATAACGAAGAGATTTTTGTGAAAAAATTCATCCTCTATTTCATTCACAAATCCTTTTTTTTTTTTGAAGATTTTTTTTTTTCTTTTCATTTACAAATCTTTGCACAAATCCTTTTGTCTTGCAAATTCATGGTATGTATATGTATGCCTCATATATACTTACATTTACATCACCGTTGCTTTCTTCTTGGTGCAACCCAATTGAATTTGTTGTAGAATCTGCAATGGTTTGTAAGTAATGTCCATGAAAAACAAATCATAACATTTTAATATATAATAATAACATACATTTTCGTTTTAATTTTAAAAACGTTACTAATGCATGATGGATAGACACTCGCATGCTTGTGGCTCCCATTTTGTGTGAGATCTATAAACATGTGAGTATCTGTATATCATTATGTGATTTATTTTATATCAGTAGTTTTTTTTAGTCCTTAATCTTTTGAACAATTTGGTGAAAATATCAAAACACAAGAATCTTGAAAATTGTCGTGTAGTGAAAAAATAAAAAAGAAGTGAAATGCCAATCAAATATAAGTTTTAAATTTCTTTTCTTTTCTCTTTTCTATTCTCTTCTCAAATCTTTTCAAAATTTAAAATTCAAACACAATCTAAAAAAAATTAAATTCACAACAAATGATAGAGAAGGCAGAGAAACAAGGACCTGTTTGGGTTGTGGTTAGGAGAGAGCAATTAATGCTTCCTTTCCAATCAGTGGGACACTCACAGACATCATTCTCAACCAAACATGCACCTCCATGAAAACAGAAAATGTCACCACATGGTGCCCCTGTAAGCTCACAGTGCTCTCCACTATGTCCTGTTTGGCACTGGCATTTATAACTCTCACCCTGCACTATCTCCTCACAAGTCCCTCCATTTCCACACCAAAATGAGTTAGTCCCATCACACATTGTCATTTCCTCATCACAAAACCTCCCCCTGTTAATCAAAACAATAGAACACAAGAAGTTCCATGATGTTTCAATTCCATGAATCTAATCAATTAAAAAACAATGAGCATCAAGTATAGAGACAAAATTATTTCTTTTAAAAAAAATATAATAATAAAATACAGTGCTGACAGCACTACATTTATTTTGAATGGAGCTACGTTCCATCAAAATGAATGCAATACTAACACTGATAGTATGACATTTATTTTGAATGGAGTCCCACTCTATAATGAATGTAATATAGGTCACATTTTTTCAATATACTTTTGTATGCCAAATTTATATTTATAACATTATTAATTATATATCATACCAAAAAAGTGCTTGTTCAAGAATTTCAAGATTTTCTTATATTGGTGTTTTGGTACATTAATGATTCAAGTTGGTATGAAAACTTCCATTGAAAACCATATGGTTATAAAAAGAGAAGCAGTTTCCAAAATTGCACAAAATATAGTGTTGGCAGCACTGTATTCATTCTAGATGAAACTATATTACAATGAACGTAATTCTGACAATACTACATTTTGTACATTTTTCTAGGAAAAAATTGTGTTCGTAGCATTACTTGTTTCTTTTTCTTCTTCTTCCATTTATTTATTTATTTATTTTTGTTTTGAAATCTTGCTAAAGAATTTCAATATTTTCTTATAATGGTGTCTAGCACAAGAATGATTTAAGTGTTGTATGAAAACTTCCATTGAAAACCATATATATATGAGTTAGAATGAAGAAGGAAAGTTGGATTTACCCTTGGAAAGGTCGATCACCATCTAAAATGGTGGAAGGGTCTGGAAGATTGCAAATACAGTGGCCAGTGCTGTTGCATGATCCAGTTTTGCATCTGTAGTCATTACATGGTAGAGCAGCAGCAGCTTTCACAATATTGGTTGATCCAAGAAACAGAGATAGTATAACTAGATACACAACTTCCATGCCAATTGACATTTCAAGAATATGAGAGAGAGAGAGAGAGAGAGAGAGAGAGAGAGAGAGAGAGAGAGAGAGAGAGAGAGATTGTGATTGTGATTGTGATTGTGATTGTTTCATCCATTTGTTGAGTTTTGTGTGTGATGAATGTGACAGTCTTTGGGTTTAAGCAAGGTGTCAAGAGATAGAGGAAATGGGATTTTTTATTTATTTTTGGAACCTCACCAAGTAGTAAGTCTTATATAAACCAGCAATTATCTACAAATTACAAGTATCAATTAAGACTGGATACAACACCAAAGGAAGTCAAACTTTAGATGTTCCAAGTTTACTGTTCATCCTAAGATAAGCCCTTTTATTACTTAGTAATACATATCTAAAAACAATTCAAAGTTTTGTCCATATTCATTCAATTCAAGTACCCACAATACGGCAATTCAATCTCAACCCTTCCTTCATATTCCGAGCAACTTTCTTACCAAAATTTCTGAGATAGGAAATTAATGACATATCGTTTCAATGCAGAAAGTGAGGCTGAGCTTCTAAGTACATGCACTTTGTTTCTTTATTGTACATTCACTATATGCATTGCAAAGATAGTATTTCTAAACAAACAATTGTGTGTATTAACGGTGTAGAAAGAAATTTGAAAGGTGTGTTTAAAAGTTCTCTCTCTCTCTCTCAAAGAGGGGTTACCGTATATTGTTAATTCCTTTAAAGGACAGTATATTGTAGTGAGAGTTGGTGAGTGTTCAGGGTGTTTTATGTAATTTGAGTTCAAATTAGGATTTATTTGGGGTTTAACAATGAAGTCAAACCATGCTTGCTTAGCTATGTCGTAAAGGTTAAGCCATAAAAATAAATTAATAAATGAAAACACAACTCGAGGTTGAAATGAACATGGGTTGTGATCTGAGTTTTAGGAAGAACAAGTTGTGAACTTCATGTGTTGTCCAATTTTGCAAATTTTTTTTTTTTTTAACTTGCAGATTAATTTGTTTTTGTTTTTTTTAAATTTTTTATTAGTTACTTGAATTATAGCCAAATATTTGATAGAAGAAATCTTCCATAACTAGTTAGAATTGAATGAGTTTGAGGGCATAAGATTTTTTGTCACAAAATTCATGTCCCTCTATCTTAATGCACTCCTCATTGCATAATTGTGCTTTGAGATCATCGTATTTTAAGATGTCTATTACATTGTGTGGTTGAAAATATATTGAGAAGGCACGAGATTCCTTGCCACAAAATTCATGTCTCTTTGTCTCAATGCACTTTTAATTGCACGATTACGCTTTGAATTTTTTGTATTTTAATATTTCTACTACATTACGTAGTTAAAAGTATACTGAGAATATGAGATAAGGATTTTGCGTTAGAAAATTTTAGAAATTTAACCAGTTAAACTGAATGTTTATAAGAAATATTTTTAGAAAAACATATCATTTGGGAGGGAGGGTGGGGGCTTGAACCGCAAACTTGATGAGCCAAGCATACTTAGAAGTTTTCAATTCCACAATTATTCAATAACCAATTATTTGTATTTATGTGTTATCGGAAAAATATCCGTAGTTTCAAAAAAAATTAAGAAAAAATTTCAATTAAAGAAAGTATTAAAATTTTGAAAGCATGAGTCCTCTTTCTATGTATTGAAATTTGGTAGATAAATTAAAAAAATTATTAATTTCATGAAAGCATTCGGATAATTGAGGAAAATTTTAAGTAATTGGAGAATTTTATTAATACATGATTTGCAATGACGCGCACAGTATACGGTTTTGAATTGTAAAGGGCCAAAAATAATTTTTTTTTAATTTATTTTTGGCCCCTAACAAAAAGAGTAAATTATATTTTTTTATCTCTAATTTTTATTTCAATTTCACTTTTGGCTCCTCAACTTCTAATTTTTATAATTATATTATCATAATTTAACGCATGTTTTGATAAAATCTTCTTATCTTTCACAATTAAAATTTTGAACAACTGGTGTTCACATGAGCACATTATAGGATAAAATTATAGAATAAATTACACTTTTTATCTCTTCAATTTCACTCAAATTTTAGCTTAATCGCATTATATTTGAATTTTTTTAATTGTTACAATTAAAAAGTGATAGACCAAATTAAAATTCAGTTAAAAATGAAGAGTGAAAAAATAAAAATAAGAAGGCTTGTGAAAAACTAAAACAAATGGCTTTAGATGTTTTATGATTTACCCACAAAATAAAAAAAGAAAAATATGACCTTTTTTTTTATTTATTTCTTACACATGAATACACTACTGATTAAACGGTGGTGTTACATACACTAATTAATATATTAACTAGTGTATCAATATTAGTTATGACATTATCATTGATCATACTCATTATACAAATTACAAATATCAAAAATTTATTAAATTATGTCATATCATCAATTGATACACTAGTTAGTATACTAATTAATGCATATAGCATTATTCCTGATTAAAACACATTGATCGCTGAAGATTGTGGATAGATTTGAATGGAAAAAACAATCCCATAGATGCACCTTTTTGCTCCTTCAAGTCCCATTATTCCTGATTATAATCCATTAGGTTCTAGATAAAATTATTTGCTCCTTCAAGTCCCATTAATTTTTAATAAACCAATTTACCCTTCCAAACCTGAAATTGGGAATCAGATGGTCGTTTTCCAACCATCGCCTCATCTGCCTCAGTCCCTCTCCTTTCACCTCTGATCACTTCCCCTCCGTCTAGTGCGTCATCGGCTCCAGATTTAGATTCTACAATCGCAACACAAAGCAAGCCATGATGTGGTGAATTCATTTTGTTTGATTTAGTTGTGATTCCAGGTTTGTGGCCAATTCTTGCCTGTAATAATTCTATTCAAATGTTGTAGCAAATGAATCGATTTTCGATAGTCTCTCTCCTCCTTCACACTTCAGTAAAAAGATAATAACTCGTAAATTCCATTGCTTGCGTCTTGAGTTGAACCACGGAGAGATTAGGAAGAGAATGAGAACAATCGCAGCTCCGAAGACGAATTTTGAAGGGTCGAATTGTTGTTGTTGTTGCATCTTGAGGTGAACCCGTAAATTCCATTGCTTGAACCTACAAGAAATTTGAATATTCAACCATAGATCTTGAAATCCATGGAGATTTCTGATTCTTGTTTTCTCTCTCTAAAAATACAAACTTTCTCTTTCTTTATCTATCTAGGTATCTATGTGTTAATTCTTTGGTAAATTGAATATTCAACCATAGATCTTGAAATCCATGGGGATTTTTGATTCTTGCTCTCTCAAAAAATATAAAACCTTCTCTCTATGTATCTATCTATGTATGCATATGTGTTGATTCTTTGGTAAATTTCTCTCTCTTTGCTTTGTATGTTCTTTATAGTCTACTGTTGTTTAACATTTGACTCTTTGGTCAATATTTATTACTATATTTTTGGTGGAATGTGAACTGTGCATTCAAGGGTACATTTGGGTAGCCGTCGGGACTGGTCGCTAGTTCGCCAGTGAGGGTGGGTTCGGGCTAAAGAAATTAAGAATATTCCCAGCTTATAATATTCTCAATTTTAATCATGGAAAAAAACTCAATTCAGCAATCTAATGTGTCAGGTTCGCAAAATTATCTTTCTTTTCAATCCCATACTTTTCTCAGAAGTCAAACAGAAATTTCTTTGTTTTGATAATTATATACTGAAATCATTCTATGTTTTGAAAATTAAGAACATTCTCAGCTTTGAAATTGAGAACATTCTCAGTTTTGGGATTAAAGGGCAAAACGTCTTTTTACCTATAAATGGGACTTATTGGTTCAAAAACTTTTTAACAGGACCTAAGCTACCACCAAATATGTAGATAGAACTTTTTGGTAATTAACTCTTAAATTATGTCATATCATCAATTGATACGTGTAGACACCCCATTTTTGACCGTCCTCAAGACTTGGACGTCACCATTGGAACACTTGGTGATTACCCTTGTTTGTGTTCGTCTTGAGTTCCCGGAGTCTCGGTTGCGCGCCTTGCCTTAGGATCTCTCGACTCGACCGTGTTGTGTCTGGTTTTGCACCAAACACTTGTGTTTTGCCTTGGAGGGACAGGGAATGCCTTGTGAGGCATCCCCACACATCACTGGCCATGGCTTGAGGCCACCAGCCAGTGATTTTATGCCATCGGTAATGTATATTGCCGGTCGGCACTCTTTGTTGCCGGTCGGCCATTTATTTTGTCAAAATGGCAATTTTGAATGGTTGATCACTGTTCATCTACTTTTAGTAGATATTTTGTGCCAGCTGTGATAGCTAGCACCCACTCTGCTCCCCTCCATACACGTGTATGGAGGGATTTCCCTCTTGGATGGCTTGTTTTGGAAGCCTTACAAGAGGGAGTTGCCTATAAGAAGAGGCTTTCTCCCTTGGCATTAGGGTTACAAAAAATTTCAGAGGGAGTTCTGGATTAGGGTTAGGGTTGATACATATTTCCTATCTCTATATCTCTCTCTTGTGTGTGTCTAGTGTGTGTTTGTCCATACTATTGCACACAAACACATAGTGTTACACCTTCTCTTGGTTGTTGAGGGACCAGAGGGTTGTCCTTGGTGTTCTTGACTGGATTTGAGCTCAAGGAGGCAACAAGATCATCATTTGGGAAGAAGGACTTCAAGGGTAAGAAACTAGTCCCTTTTCATCCCATTTTTGCACACTACTTTTACCTATCTTGCAACTGTTTTTTGGCTTTACATATAATACATAAAAGTTCTTTTTTTAAGGCCTCTAAATAGTTTGTTAAGAGTGTTTTAATCTTTGGGGTTGTTTGACCCCTCTTAAGCCTTGTTTGGCCCTTGTTTTGTGCTATTTTGTGTGAGCTCCGGGACTTTGGTGTTTGGGCCTCCTCACCACTGAAATCTTGAGGGATTTCAGTGGTAAGGATGGTGCCTTGAGGTCCCAAGAAGGAGAGGGCCACCCCCTCTCCTTGTTGTCCTTGAAAATGACCATTTTTGTCTCTTGAGGGAGCACCTAGCTTAGGCTCTT